AAAGAAGTCAAACTGCTCTAAAATGGTTTTACATACATTGGAGGGGGCACTACTGGCATCATAACCACCACAGCAAACACAAATTATCACTGTTTTAAGATGAGAGCAATTCCCAAAGTTTCATCAGCCCGAATTCATAAATAATACAAAAGCAAAGAAAGTTATCTGTGAATTATCCCAAATCCCTATGTACATTAAATTAAAAGGTTTTAGTAAGATTCCAATGACCACTGTTATTTAAAGGAACACTATAGTCACCTAAACAACTTTAGATTAATGAAGCAGTTTTAGTGATCATGCTTATCAGGTTTCCATTTAGGAGTTAAATCACTTTGTTTCTGTTTATGCAGCCCTTGTCACCCCCATCCCTCCCTGGCTCTGACTGACACAGCCTGCATGGAAAAAAACCTGGTTTCACTTTCAATCAGATGTAATTTATCTTAAACAATTGTATCTCTTTCTCTGTAAATTGAACTTAAATCACATACAGGAGGCTCTTTTAGGATCTAGCAAGCTATTAACATAGCATTGGATAAGAAAATCTAAATTAAACAAAACTTGTTGACACTTTACAAGAAGTGTTTAGAAAGGCCTTGCAAGTCACATGCAGGGAGGTGTGACTAGGCAGAGAATTGAGCAGTGAGAATGCAGGGACATGATCTATACACCATGTGGCAGAACCAGCCTCGCCACTGGGCATTGGAGAAGACTGATTGCCAGCCTCCTGCACTGCGACTATGGCCCTGGGATGTATTGCCCTTCTAGGAACTGATTTGGGCATATTGTATTTTATTATGCTGCTGCAGGCCCTTTAAGAACCATCTGGGGACATACTGTGGAGTTACTGGGTGGCCACCATTTCATTTATCAGAGGCACATGGTGAGAACAATGGATGAAGCACATGGTGAGAACAATGGATGGCAGCCATTTTAACTCACAGACACTGTTTGGACTTTTCTACACGGTGCCATCTTGCCGGTATTTGGTGCACAAAGACATCATGCAGTATTTTTAAGCTATATAACAGGGGACTCTTTATACAGTAATTATTTTTCATATAGCCTGTACATGTTCTGCGGAATCTGCATTAAACTGTATCTTCCAAACTACTGAACAGATCTGGGGGAATTTTGGATATGTGGTTCACCCAGGTCCCCCGGTTCAATAACATGGGGTTATTGAATGTTTTGAGGTCCCTGTGATATGTTTTATAATACTGTATTTCTCTGCCTGTGATAATTATATTAACCATTGTGTTCAGTAATCATATCACAGGCAGAGGGGAGGATTTTGTGTGGGAGTGTCTGTGTGTATTTTACGGATTGATTGGGCCCTTTGGGCAGTACTATGTTTCTGGATTGTGAATAAAAGAGGCTGTATGTGCCAGTATAATCAGTTCTGCTTGACCTCCAAATGAAGTGTCATCTCGTTATTGGGGGAATTGGATTGTATTCTGATTGCCAGGAGTGTAAGCTGATTGTATGCTTTTCCTGTTCAGCCATTTACAGCATTCATATGCTTGAGAGCATTCGTATGCTTCTTCGGTTTGGTGGTTGTGGTGTCTGCTGCAGTGCTTGGAGTCCTCAGGAAGCGCTAGGAGCATCCATTAACGGAGGTACCCAGTCGGGGTGCCAGGTGATCCGTTACACACAAAAACTGCTTTATTAAGCTAAAGTTGTTTTGTTGACTATATTGTCCCTTTAAATACATTTAAAGTGTATCCCTGAGTTCACCTTGTCTGAAATGGATCATGATGTAATTTGCTTAAACTTTAAAAAAAAAATGTCAAAGAAAACCTAGTATCTCATTAAAAAAAGGTTAACACAAGTCATAGGTAATTTCCAATGTTTTATTCAATTATGTAATTTACAGTTCCACTTTATGTCTGGAAATAATTTCGACTTGGGTGGGTTTTATATTGCTTTGCTAGATCCCTTGCCAATTTTGCTTTTATCAATCCCCACAAGTTTTATATCCCCTCTTGATGGAGCGCCCACATTGTCCAAATAGCATCCTGATCCGTGGGGTTTTGTAGAAACGCCAATCTGTTAAACGTTAGACTTACCGATAGCGTGGTCTCCTGCCGAAAACAGTTCCAGGCAATTAGAGGCATTGGCCGTTATTTTAGCAGGGTCTCTGGACAGTTGTGGAAGGGCAGCTCCCCCTGACTCATAGGTAGGTAGGCATAGGTAGCGATTGTTCCTCTCTCCACTTAGTAGATCTCCTCCAAAGAGCGCTCTCATGGGGTATCGGGAAAGGGGTGAAAATTGAATGACAATTAAGCGTGACAAGGTAGTTTGTGTGGCCGAGCTGGAGTTCCAGTATTAACACATAAAAGTCCTACTAACTCTTTCCCTCGTTCGGGGAGGGGGAACAGAAAGCCAGAAAGTGTTATAGTCCTTTCGGTATTTTAAGTGGTGTTCGCCACACATAAAACATCTCACCTTGCTTCAGAGTTCATATCTTGTTTTGCATGATGCGGACTTTACATCAATTTTAAAGCAGCACCGTCACGGTCCATGGACTTTGCCTAATTTGCACAGGAACAATTTTTACACTTTGTTTTTTTAAGGCACAGTGTAAGCATACAATTACAGGGCTGCCCGAACAAAAAATGAGACACGTGGGAGAGATGAGATGCATGGAGGATCTGGGGGAGTATTGCTGAGGTGTATGAAGTATGCACACCTCACTACTTAAGCAATATGTCAAGTTTTGTTTGAGGTATGTCATTAATTCTTTAAAGGACCACTATAGTGCCAGGAAAACATACTCATTTTCCTGGCACTATAGGGTCTCTAGGTTCCTCCCACCCTTAGGGTCCCCCTCCCGCCGGGCTCTAGTGGGAGGAAGGGGTTAAACACATACCTTTTCTCCACCGCCGGGCTCCCTCGGCCTCCTTTCCCTGTCATTGAATGCGCATGCGCAGCAAGATGGACCTTGCACCCAGACCACTTCATTAAGCTGAAGTGGTCTGCGTGTCTATAGTGGTCCTTTAATTTAATATTATGCTAAATGTTAATTTTAGTCACTCCACACATCCTCATTGATTTGTTTTATAGCATGTCTCACTGAGACAATCTCTGGTGATTTTATTTAATTTTTATAAGTGATATAAAAATACAACAAGCACCCTAACATGGACTTGAACCCTGAAACCCACAGATTAAAAACCTGATGCTTTACCAACTGAGCTATCCAGGCTCTTTCAGACAGATAGATAACCAGTCAATTCATGCTAAAACAGTGGTATTCTTATTATTGTGATTTCTATAGCGCCAACAGATTCCATAGCACTTTAACCCCTTAAGACCGGAGGGCGTACTATTATGCCCTATTTTAGGCGGCTCTAAACACCGCCGGGTGTAATAGTACGCCCTCCGGTTTTTGTTTACTTACTGACCCAGTCGCCGGCGATCCCATGCCGGCGATGGCGGTTGGGGGGGGGGGGGACTCCCAGGGAGCCCCCCCGCGGCACATCTTCTCTCCTGCAGGCCCCCCGGCCATGTGAGAGTGAGGGCTTTGCGAGGACCTCACAATCACATGGCCGGGTCAGCTGGCTGCTGTATTGCCAGCAGGAGGGCTGTCTGTAATGACAGGTAGTCCCCCTGCTGGAAATAAAATAAAATAAAGTTTAATAAGTGTAAAAAAAAAAAAAAATTATATTATATATATATATATATATATATATATATATATATATATATATATATATTATTTTTTTTTTTTTTTTCCATTCAGGTAGTATGGCTGCACTCACGGATTTTCCAATAAAATAAATTTACTTTTATTCAAATTCCAATAATACAAATCGACGTTTCAGTCCATCTTGTGGACTTTCATCAGGATTAATGATCTAAGTATATTTATACATATACATACACACACATACACTGTCTAGGTGTATTTTGCTATATATATATATATATATATATATATATATATATTTATTAATATCAAATTACACGTAGACTGATACTGATTAAATATATAATTATTGATATATATATATATATATATATATAATATAAAAAAAAATATGTAAATACGTTAAAAAATAAAATTAAAAAATTAAAAATAAATAATTAAAAAATATATAGATGTATGTTATTTAATTCTAACTGTATTGTGATATTAATATATATATTTAAATCAAAATACACGTAGAACGAAATAATATATATCTATAACTTATACCCTATAACTTTCCAAGACACCATAAAACCTGTACATGGGGGGTACTGTTCTACTCGGGAGACTTCGCTTAACACAAATATTAGTGTTTCAAAACAGTAAAATGTATTACAACAATATCGCCAGTAAAAGTTACTTTTTTTGCATTTTTCACGCACAAACAGCACTTACACTGACGATATTATTGCTTTGATACTTTTTACTGTTTTGAAACACAAATATTTTTGTTCAGCGAAGTCTCCCGAGTACAACAGTACCCCTCATATACAGGTTTTATGGTGTTTTTAAAAGTTACAGCGTCAAATATAAGGCTTGTGTTTCATTTTTTTCACATTAAAATTCGCCAGATTGGTTAGGTTGCCTTTGAGACCCTATGGTAGGCCAAGAATGAAAATTACCCCTATGATGGCATACGCTAACTTTGGCCAGTGTTTGTGATCAAATGGCTACTAAAAAAGTCCGGACATACCCTATTTGCAATACCTTGGGTTGTCTACTATTGCAAATGGTATGCCATTATGGGTGTAAATTTCATTCCTGGGCTACTATACTGTCTAAAAGGCAACATAACCTATCTGGCGAATTTCAATTTCAAATGTAACATGCTATATTTGACCCTGTAACTTCCCAAAACGCAATAAAACCTGTATATAGTGGGTACTGTTTTATACGTGAGACTTTGCTGAATACAAATATGTGTATTTTATTGCAGTAAAAGCAAACAGTATTGTTGTGGAAATAAGGTCTACACATATTTCCTAGTTAGTGAAAAATGTCTATTTACTCATTTCACGATATATATATATATATAGTTAAGCACACACGTTATAATTAAGATGGCTGCTAGAAGCTTCTTGCTCCTTTCCCCCCCCCCTTCCCTTTCTCCTTCCTAACATCGACTAACTACCTCGTGCACCAAGATGGCGCCGGGAAACCGTGGGAGACCCTCATGGTCCCGGTGACATCACCTACAGTAGGCAGAACATTAGAGCAACCACTTAACACCTAACCAATAATTGATGTATTATTCCATGTTATCTCTGACAATGCTTATGATGTAATTTTGCTTTAAAAGGGACTTGCCGTCCCCTCTGAATAAACATTCCTCAAGTTATTCAACAACCTGGAACCTGTGTCTGGTGTGAATTACTTCAGGGAGCGTGCACGCACTGTTTCATTGATTTGGCCAGGGGCAGATACACAAAGAAATAATCAATACTTTTAATTGATTTTTCCATTTCAATTGGCGCCCAACGTGGGGCCACCGGAGGGCCGGTTCGGAGGGCCGGAACCAACGGACCGGAGCGGACCTCCGGAAAGTGGGACAAGCGGAGCCTGATCACCTCCATAATACAGCCGTTGCCTGTGTTATTCTCCTGTTTTGTGTCGGTCTGTCTCCGAGTCCACTTCCGGCTTCCAGAAGGCTACTAGAGACAGGTAATTAACTCATCCGGTGTGCCTTTTTAAGGTGAACCTGTCGATTGTCTATCTGCCTCCTGTATTTGTTTGAATGTGAGTGTCGGCCGGAGTGTGTGTTTTCCCCCTTTTTAAAAGACGATAGCTTGACTGCCTAGCGGGCAGGGAACGCATTACAGCCGGTGGGGCTGGGATTTTACAGCCGGTGGGGCTGGGATTTTAAGTTAGCTTGACTGCCTAGCGGGCAGGGAACGCATTACAGCCGGTGGGGCTGGGATTTTAAGTTAGCTTGACTGCCTAGCGGGCAGGGAACGCATTACAGCCGGTGGGGCTGGGATTTTACAGCCGGAGGGGCTGGGATTTTAAGTTAGCTTGACTGCCTAGCGGGCAGGGAACGCATTACAGCCGGTGGGGCTGGGATTTTGTTTGTTTATTACTGTGCTCTCATTAATACTTGTGTTATACTGGGACCAGCCTGGTGGGTGAAGGCTGAGGATTGCTATACTTCGTTTATTCAGCACTGGTGTCATTAACATGTACATGGCCATTTTACTCTCTGTCATCCTGTGGTTCTTGTTTAATTGTTGTTACAGCGTGGGTACCCTTGGTGTGTGCGTGTGTATTGTGTGGTTAGTTCTGGACTCCGGAGTCTATGCTCATTTATATGTTTGTGATTTTTGCAAATGTCTTCTCATTAGCGCAGCCACGTTCATCTTTTCTTTTGTGCTTTATCTCTCCTGTGCCTGTTGCCCAGAGCTGTGTTAGTCACCCACGCTCATTCGCTCCCGTCCGTGACCACCACCCCGGGTGGGCGGATCTCCGTGACTAGTCTACGTTTGGGGAAGACGCACGGGGCTCAAGTTCTCGTGGCAGTCGAGCACTGTAGACACTCCTTCTCCCCTCCTTTCTTATACCTCCTCTATCCATCTGTCATTAACGAGTGGCACGTTTTGTTTGGTCAAGATGGGGCAGGAACATGCTAGACCTGCTAAAGGTTTATTGGCTTGTGATATTGTGAAAGAAAGGGCAGGGGAAGATGCTATGATGAAACTTAAAAAGATTGCTAAGGTGTGTGGCTTTCAGATGTTACCCAGTGGGAGATTGCAACCGGAGTTTTGGAGAAAGCTACTCATAGATAAGGAAGGTTTATTGTTGGATAACGGACTGACAAAGGTTGCAGAGGCTTGGTATCGTGTAGCCAGAGGTTTGAAACGGGAAGGATGGGTCGAGGAAGAGTTGGAATTTGAAGGACAAATTGTGCATGTTTACCATAGGAGTGTTCACAATGATGATGTTGTTTCCATTGTTCCACGGCCACCACCCTATGATGGCGCCCAGAGCGCAACAGTAAATTCCCGCCCTGCTTCTCCCGTCACAGCTCAGACCCCACCCCCCGGGGGTGTGCCTACAGCCCCCACTCCCTTATGTCCTGTACTCGGTGTAGACGGAGCTTACTATTTCCCAGTGCCACATCACTCGTTCCCACCCACTCCCATGCCCCAACCCCCCTGTGACCAGACCCCCTCTTTCAACCATCGTCCCGCCATGTCCATCGGAGCCCCCCCCCCTCCATGCCCTCCTTTACCTTTCCCAGCGCCAGTCCTCACCCCGAGCACTGCCCCGACTATTCCCGCCTCGACCATGGAAGTTCCATCCCCCTCCTCCTCCCAGTCCCTCTCCATTTTGAGTACCCCTTCCCTAGTAGTCCCCGCTCCTTCTCCCTCTCCGTCCGTCCTACGTCCTACACCCCCCGCTCCTACCTACCCAACCGACCCTGTCTCCCCGGACCCCTGTCCCCCGGTCGACTCTCCCTCCCCGGTATCCTCAGGAAACCCCGTGACCCCCAGCCCTGCACCTCCATTGTCCCCCACCCCTTCTCATCTCCTCTCCTCCTCCTCCTCATCTTCCAAAGATCCCCCGTCCCTACTCTCCGCTCTCATGAATCTTGTTCAGCCCGTTAGTCCCGATTCCTTTACCTCCGGCCCCCTATCCACAGTTACCCCTCCCATCCTCAAGGACCCTCTTACTCCTCCTCCAGCGTTACCTCCTCCTGAAACCCCAGCCCCCTCTGCCTTGTTGCCTCCTATTCCCGCGACCGATTTGCCGTCCCTAATCTCCGCCCTCACCGCCCTAACCCAACCCATTGCCGTCACCCCTCTCACTCCTCCTCCAGCGTTACCTCCTCCTGAAACCCCAGCCCCCTCTGCCTTGTTGCCTCCTACTCCCGCGGCCGATTTGCCGTCCCTAATCTCCGCCCTCAGCACCCTAACCCAACCTCCCGTCGCAATCCCCCCGGCCTCTTTTCCCCTGTTACCACCCCCCGACATCCCTGCCCCCCCGACCCTGACACAGGCCCTTGGTCCCGTACCTCCGACCCTTTCCCCCATGACCCCTGACACACACATGACCAATGACCTGTCCGGCTCAATATCCGCCCTCTTCACTGCTGTTACTTCCCTAGTTACTTCCGCGACCCCCGTACCACCTCCCATTGACGTACCTCCTCTTCCTCCTCCTCCTCCTCCCCCCGAACCTCCGACCCCACCCTTGTCTCCTGCCGAAGTCCCCGATCCAATCTCCGCCCTTGCACATGTCCTAAATACACACCTTTCACGCCCAACCCACCCGGCCCCTGTGACAGCCCCTTCCACGGCTCTGGTCCCTCGTGTCCCTTCCGCCAGTCCAAGTTACCCAATCATGGTGGTTGGATCCGAGGTGTCTGGGACATCTGACCAGCCCTATGCAATGGGTGCCTCCCCCCAGGCTTCGGGTTTCCACCCAGTTACCTTACCTACCACGGCCCTCCCTGTTGTCCCCGCTACAGCTACCCCTGAGGCTACCCTCCGCCGTGGCCCAGTGTTGCCCGAAGAGGTTGTTGCGGTTGACCAGAATTCGCCCCAGGTGGGGGTGAATAGGCTCCCCCAACAGCACACTATCCCTCAAGGTTACATCCCGATCAACCATGGTGCGGATGGAGCACCGCCTATGTATGTTACCTTTAACCCTTCCCAAGCTGCTACCCTTGTGACCTCACTCCCCGATCCTGAAAAACACCCTATGCCCTTTTTCCGCCGGATGGCTCAGATCCGTAAAACGTACTCCGCTGCTTGGCGGGATCTTATTAGTCTATGTGAAATCAAAGCCGGTGATGCATACTGGCCAATCATGGAACGGAGTTTTAATGACGCTCCACTTACTTCTGATACTGACTTTCGTTCTGGTGAAGTCTTTTGTGAACAGCTTCGAGCTTGGGCACAGGATAAACTAGCAGATCAGGCTACTTGCATTAATGACATTATACAGGACAAACTTGAGACAGTTGAGAAGTATCACTCTAGGTTGACTCAGACTTTTTCAGACTTAGGGTTTAGTACTTACAACAAAGCACACACCCAGATGCTATCTGCAGCCTTTGTGGCAGGGCTTAGAGAACACATCCGTAAGGGGTTAATCTTAGCTCGGCCTGAGTATAGAATTATTCCACTGGACACTCTTTTGCTAGTTGCCAAGGGCTTAGAATCTGTTTTGCTACCTACACAACGTAGACCCAGTCCTCTGATGTATGCTACCTCCACCCCATTCGCTGGTCCAAGCCAGGGTCCTCAGATGTTTCCCCAACAGTACACCCAGCCCCCCCAGACACTGCCTGCACCAATCCCTTTCTCCCGTGATCGGTCTGTCACGACAATCCGGACCTGCTTTAATTGTAATCAGCCAGGTCACTTTAGAAGAGATTGCCCACACCCTAGAGTGTTCCGCCAGCAGACTCCCCGGTACCAAAATCCACATGTCACCAGTTACAGTTTCCCCTCCACCGGTTACCTCCCTGCCCTACCCCATCCACAGTTGCCTCAGTTACCTCCTCCACCTCCTCCCCCTCCGCCTCCTGAGTATTCCCAAGCCCGGCTCCCCGCAGCAGAAGCCCGTGCATACACCTCGCCCTCCGCTGAAGGGTATGATACTGATGACCTCCAAGACAACCCACCTCATCCCCGCCATGCCCTCCGTCCATCCCGCCCACCTATGCATACTGCTAACCCTCCCTCCACCTCCCGCCGGTACCAGGGACCGGATCAAGCCCACCTAGATTTATTACAATAGGTAACTGGCAAGCCTGTGTCAGCAACCCCTGCCATGGCAGTGTCTGCGGGGGATGGAGGAGGACCTTTAGCTACTGTAGTTCTCCCCGTGGAGGGTCACCCAACCACCTTTTTAGTTGACACAGGTGCAGCCCGTAGTGTCCTTAGGGAACAAGACCTGCCAGACCCTTCCTTCCTATCTGACACTGATGTCTCCTGTGTTGGGGTGGATGGTACACCACGCAGTAACCCCCTCACCAAGCTCTTACATGTAGGCTCACATATCCTGTCCCGTTTTGTTGTTTCCTCCACCTGCCCCATTAACCTCCTAGGTGCCGATGTTCTCTCTCGGCTCCAGGCTTCCATTACCTTTACTGCTGATGGACAGGTTGAGTTGACAACCCCCTTATCGCAGAAAGATACTTCTGTACTCTGCTCACTCCCAATTTTGTTGAATCTAACTGACAATACAGGGAATGCACGGGTCACACACACCCCCAGTGCCCTGGATCGTATCCCCCAAGAACTTTGGTCCACCGGCCCGGATGATATTGGACGCTTACATGTACCCCCAGTCCTGGTCCAGCTCCTGCCTGGTGCACTCCCCCCTCGTAGACCTCAGTATCCTCTGAAGCCAGCACAAGCTGAAGCCATCACCAAGCAAGTTGAGACCCTGCTTGCAAAAGGTGCCCTCACCAAGTGTACTTCTCCATGCAACACCCCTCTCTTCCCTGTTAAAAAGCGAACTGTTAAAGGCCAACCTGACCAATACCGTATGGTACAGGACCTCCGTGCTGTTAACGAGGTAACCATAAAGGACACTGCTATTGTTCCAAACCATCATACCCTTTTGTCCCAAGTGCCACCAACTTCAACAATTTTTACTGTTGTGGATCTGGCTAATGCCTTTTTCAGTGTTCCCCTTGATCCCTCCTGCCGTTTTCTCTTCGCCTTCACACATGAAGGACAACAATATACTTGGACTGTTATGCCCCAGGGAGCGCAGAACTCCCCGACACAATTTGCTCATGCCATGTCTCTGGTTCGGGAT